TTCCACGCGGGTGCAGGGTCCCAAAGCTTTAGGCCGTCCTTGACTACTTTCCCAGGCCACAAGCAGGGAGCTGGATGGATAGTGGAGCTCCCGGGACTAGAACCGGCACCCAAATGGGATCCCGGCGAGTTTAAGATGAGGACTTTAGCCGCTAGGCCACACTGCTGGGCCCTTCTTTCACTAATGTTAATACTGCTATCATTTAGGCATTTCTTTAAAAATGAGTTTTAGACATGTTACAGCCACAAGAGAAAAGGCATTGAATACCTATAGATCAAGATTTCTTTTCTTCTATAGTTACGATCTTCATCCAGAAGAGACACATTAGTCTTTTGATCTATCTGGCTGTATTCTTCAACCATCAGGTACCTTAAAGCAAAAGTTAAAATTTATAATATATTCAAGGCATGTCACAAAGACTCTAATGTTTTTAACTGCACCAAAATTGGAGCCTTCCATAAAAATATCCATAATTATCACTGCAAACACAACATGAAAATGAATATGGAAGCATTTGTGATATAGAATTATCATTACAAACTCCAATTTCAAAGCAACACCTCTTAACATAATCTTGCTATTACAAAAGTCTCCAGAGTTTTGTGTATGAATTTGGCACAGGAATAAGATTTAAAAGGTAAAAAAGTGAAATTACACTTACATATAATATTTATCCAGACTCCTATATAAAGCAGCATTATATTTATTACACTGGAGTCAGAGACGATAAATTGTGTTCCAGTCATTTTGGAGTGGAGGTTAATGATGTGGGAATCCCACATGTAGTTCATCAGCCCTGGCTGTTTTAGCTATTTGAAGAATCAACCAGCAGACGCAAGGTCTCTCTCTCTCCCTATCTCTCTCTAATGCTGATTTTCAAATAAGTAAATGAATAATTTTGAAATCAGTTTTTAAAATCTTGACGATGCTTCCAGGTCAAATCAGAAAGAAAACAAATTATATTACACACAAAGTAAATTTTGTTAGTAGTATAATCAGTGCTGCCTATTTCTATTTGTGTGCGTACTACCTGCAGTGATAAGTACTTATGGAGCCCTTAGACTGTACCAGAAAACATCTTAAAGCCTCATCTTAAGGACTGAACAGGAATACAGAGGATTCTAAAATTCCTGTTGAATAAAAATGTAAGTGAAACAGGGAAACGAAGTCAAGCCTTGTGTCACTGAAAAACAAGGACAAATTCTGAAAATATACTTAAACTAGTATACTAATCACGTCACCAGGTAATACAAATGTTTGGGACCACCATCACATATACTGTCTGACCCAAACAACAGTATGCAATATGTGAAGGTGATTTGATCCAGTTGCAAGGCTCACGGATAGTGGTTCTTTGATACTACACTATCCATCCTGATTGACGTAATATTTGAAATCCCAAACAGATGACTCTGGGCCTTTATGACTTTTAGTGAATTAACCATGGAACTCAGGGGCTCAGCAAATGTTTTATGTTCCACATACTATATTAAATGCCACTCAGGAAGCATTTCACTATATCAGGTGTTGTGCAAGCATTAAGGGAAATAAAGCCACCACATTTGGAAGTACATGAAACCATAATGACCATGGATATGGGAGAGGAGAATGTTTTCAAAGACTGCATAAGGTGCAGACAATCACTAATCCTTTGACACCTGCCCTCTAGAGATGAGGCCTGGGTACGCTCTCCTTGGTTTTGAAAGGGCCTACCAAAGTACCAATGCAAAAGAAACCCTGATGATATGATCAATGCATGATTGTTTCTTACTGCAAATATTTAAAGCAGCACACCTGACTATTACGTTCTTCCATTTCACTTTCTCCAATATTAAATTTGGAAATGTGTTACTAAAGCACCACATTGGTAATGAGAAATAGCTAGCCAGCAAACAGAAAATCAATGAAGCTAAAATGTACTATATGTTTCCAAGAATTTAAAATTAGCATTTTACCTATTGATTGTATTTGCACACTAAAGGATCACTATCAGCAACATCCACTGAATCCCATTAGGAAACAATTTATGGGCAAGAATGACACATTAGTATTAGTGTCAATTCACAACAATCCAATATTTATTGTGTGTGTGAAATCACACTGAAAGAACACACATAGTCAGGATCACCTTTTTAAAACAACAAAAAGCACCATTTCCTCCTTGAGATTGCATAAGACCAGGATTAAATTCAATAACTTACAATATGCTTTTGCACTCTGTTCCAATGATACATTCAAAAGTATGTAGTGGGGAAACAAGATTGAGGAATGGATTAAGGGATACATTAAGGAGATGGAGAATCATTAACCAGGGTGAGGCATAGAGGCTTGGATCCCAGGAAATAGGAGAGGCCACCACACTCAGAACTGCAGGGTGGGAGGCGAGAAGTGAGCAGTTCACTCTATGGGAGTGGTACCTGCGTGTCAGGGACACACAGCGCTACACTTCCCAAATCTCAGAGCTCTCCTGACACCTGACACCTGCGCTGCGGAGGTGCTGCTACTGCAGCTGCGGCGTTTAGAGTCCTCCTGGTGGTTTCGCGCACTCACCAGGCAGGATGTGGGGGACTCCAGACCCTCGCCAGCTGCCTCTGCGCACCGAGACGCACTGGCCCCCGGGGCCCCCTCAGCCACCAACACCACTGTGCGTAGTTCCACACAGACCCAACAGTTTCGGCCGCCTGCTCCGCGTTCTCAGAGGCTGGAACCTCAGCAGGGGGCGAGAAATGCGGAGGCTGCCACGTCAACCCCCAGCTCACCAAACGTCCGGCCGCTGCAGTCTGCCTCCACCGCTGCCGAAGGCCTCCCGCCGGCGACGATCCCCCTGATCTCCCCGCCTCCGAGCTGGCCGCGTCTCCCGTCAGGCCGTTTTCAAAAGTGACTCAGCAGGTCTGGAGTGGGATGTCGGTTTCTCTGCCTTTGCTCCGTTCTCGTTCTTCCGAGTTGTGTGGATCTTTTTGGCTCCACACTGTCCCAGGGAACTTCACGGACCTCTCCCTGCGGTTCCCTGCTGTTCCTCTTTGCTGCTTCTGTAGCTTTCTATCCTTCTCTCACTGGACGCTCCCTCACAGCCTTCCTCCTACGTCGGCCATCTTCTTCTGTCCATTACGCTTACTTGTTATGTCAGTCACCAAAAGACATCTATTTTTTCCCTAATTTTGCATAAAAATATGCATAATGCAACAAATTTATTAAATATTTTGTTATTTCACTGTCATTTATGGCTGTGGTCAATTCTCCTGAATAACATTAATTTTCTAATTATTATAGGTTGAATTATTCAATTAACAAAGGAAAGGTAAAGCGTATGATTGTAAAGGAAACGGAAAGTATGTAGTTTTAAAAACTAAAACAAAAATAACACATTAGGAAGGAGAGAGGGGACAAAAATAATGTAGAAAGCATATTTTTAAAATCATACATGTGAAATATATGACATTTCTTTACTTTGTGTATGTGAATAATATATTTGAAATGACCTGAGTAAAGAACAGTGTATTCACCACAGAACATGAAAGAGACTATGCAAGTTTAAAGGAAATAAAGTTAATCCAAAAGGATGGAACAAAGAAGTGGTCAATGAAGAAAGTAACAGTTGAAATCATACAGGTAAAAAAATGGAAACAAAGCAAGCTTCATCAAATGTGTACATACTTTCAAAGTTTTATTGAATGTTCTAGGAAAGGCAGATTGACAGAGAGAAATGAACAGAGAACAAAAGATCTTCTATCCATGGTTTTGCTTCCTAAGAGGTACAGTGACCAGAGCTGAGCTGATCTAAAGCTAGCAGTTAGCAGCTTCCTCACAGTCCTCTATGTGGATGCAGAGTCCCAAGGCACTGGGAAAACCTCCACTGCTTTTCTAGGCCACAATTAGGGAACATACTTTTTATATGTTTTAATACAAAGTCACACGTACTAAACAAATATTAAATACAAACTAATAGAAACTGTAAAAGACAAGAATCTAAATGATTATGTGTCTTTGGGTTGTTTTCTCATCTATAAAATCTGCAATTATAAAATCCAATCGCAGTTATTAAATGGATTTCATACCTATATTTGCAAATTAGTTTCAAGTGCTCTGCCTAGAATAACAAGAATTAAAAAAAAGCGCTTCTTCATCTTTAAAAATTAACATGTATAAGTATTTAGAAAGTGGTGAGAAATGGTGAAGAAAACTGAATCGATAATGATCCTAGCTAATTCACTAATGAATCTTCACTTGAACTCTTGAAACCAAAACAAACAGAATGTCAGAAAGGGGAGGGACCTGACATTCAATATACCACTCTCTCATTCTATGCTCCTCTCAGACTGGCCTAACATCTACAAGTCTTCACTATAATAGCAATGGTAACACCAGTTAACTTCATGCTTATCAGTGTCAAGCACTTGACAAACATCCCTGAATGCTGTCTCCACCTCCCTGTGACAGGCACTCCCAGTGGACAGCTACTGTCAACAGCTCCATCTCTGCTCTTCCTTCTAACTGCTCAAACTTACAGCCACTTCACTTCCTCATCATGCAGTTCCTCTGCAGGCACAGACAACTAGTTCCCCGGATGACCCTTTCCTTAACTTGTACCAACACTGAGAATCACTTAATAGAACCCTCAATTTTAGAACTAGAAAGGGCTTTAGCTAGCTCTTTTTCCAATCCAATTTGTTTGACAATTGAGTAAAATGGTCCAGAGACCTTTCTGGCTCCTCTAGATAACAAGGGGCAATCCAATGTCCCAAAATGTAAATACATAAACATGAGCATATGCACCAAGTTCCTCTAACCCTCTCACCCTCTTCTAGGCTACTTTTGAGGAAGAAAAGTGCTGAAAGAAGACTGTGGGAACAACCACCATTTGATAATGTATTATTTCTGCAAATAGAATGTAATACCACTATTGGTTTTTATATACTATCTTTTTCATAAATTTAAATCCCCAGCATTATCTTCCTGAAGGGAAAGCAAAATTTATTTTAAGAAATAGAAAAATCTTTAAGGCAATTTGAAACTTACCCAATTATTGTGGGCTTTTTTCTTATAATGAATAACCTGAAAAACAGAATGCTTGAAAATTAGTTTTCTTAAACTAAAAGAACATCTTGTCTTTAACATAGGAAGTAACTCACAAGCTAAGAAATATTCCACACACATTTTGTGTCAGTAAACACAACTTTATGCAAAATTTCATGGACACATCATCAATTGTGTGTAAGTACACTAAAAGCAGCTAAAATTTGTAATTCATACGCTTTTGGTTTATGCTCCCTTGTCAGTAATCAGCCACAAAAGGAACTGTCAATTAACAGATAACTAGCCTGGCTGAATACGAGACCCAACTGGTGAGTTAGAATCTATTTTTATTTCTGCAATGTAATTCCTTTTGCCAAAGACAGGAGACATGGTGACATGAGATTTTTTTTATTACACATTCTTTGAAGCACCAAAAACATGGAAATGAATGAATACCACATGTAACACATCAAGAAAGATATAAAACTAGTAAAGGAATCACTTTTCCCTTTCCATTCTACATAAAGACACAGGCTCCAATAAATATATACATACACACCTAAACATGCACAACACTCACACAATGAATAAACACACACACACACACACACTTACCCTTCCTTGGTAATAAACAGTGGTTCTTTTCACTCTTTCTTCAGTATCTTTGGCTTTTTTACTGTTTAGAAGATATAAATTCTCAATTATTCATATGTAATCACCGTAATAAAATAATATACTCTACTTTAAAAATATACATTACAACATCAAGAACAATCTATTTCCTGGAACAAATAACAAAAACTGCACATGCTGAGAAATATCAAATAGAATTCTCATTTTTTCTTTATCTAATGTAAATTCTACTCATTAAACTTTCCTAAAACAATGTTTCATACAATATTGTAAGTGCATGATGGAAGATTCATCCAGATATTCATAATGTTTAAATGGCTATAGGAAATGAATTATTTTCCTCACAAAATTATATATCTTATGGGACTGATGCTGTGGCACAGAGGGCAACCTACATCACCTGATAACTATATGGATACCTGATAATCCTAGCTACTACTACACATACAATCCAGCACTGCGATAATGTGCTTGAAAAAGTAAAGGATGCTGGCTATCTGCTCATGCCCTTGTATCAACGGGGGAGTTCCAAAGGAAGCTTTTGGCTCCTGGTTTCAGACTGACCTAGCCTTGGGTGTTGTGACCATTTGGAGAGTTCATCAGCAAATGGAAGGGTCATTCTCTCCCATTCTGTGTGCTTGTGTGTGTATTCCTCTACCCCTACCTCCAGGTTCTATCTTTGTTCTGTCTTTCAAGTGAATAAATCAAAAAGAAGACAAATCAGCTACTTCCTTCATTAAAATAAGACCCAACCCAACCTTACTCTTCCTGACATATAATGAAGTACTCCAAGTATGCAAATACAGCTGAATCTTACCCTTTGTCTTTAGGCTTTCCAGTATCCCCTTTGGCCAAGTAAGGAAAGCTCCAAGGTAAAAACTAAACTTACTCTCTTATAAACCTATACAAATAATACTAATTATGGCTCATACATTCCTTTATAATGTAATTGCTGAATCCCTCATGTCCTACACATTATTCTCCATTGGAACTAAAGAGTAAAAACCTTGAAATAAGTGTCTATTCATAAATTCCTTGATGTAATAGGTAAGACTGGTCCATATTCAAACATGAGATTAAAAATCACATGCATAAGGGTATTGTTTTTCCTTTTAAGGTTTTGTATGGAATTTCATAACAAGAACTTGGAATTTAAAAGTAGCAAAATATGCTCCTTATATTTGGCTGCTTAAATATTTTTCTGGCTATTCTCCAGGACACAAAAGAAAAAGCATTAATACCAATATAAGTCAACTCCTCTTGTAGATTGAAATTTGCATCAACAATTGAGATGGTTTTTTCCTCTATGTGGCAGTGTTCCTCGATCAGCAGGTTCCTTAAAGCAAAAGTGAAAATTTATAATACATTCAAGGCATGTCATAAAGACTTATAGTGTTTTAACTGTATCAAAACTGGAGTCTCCCATAAAAATATCCACAATTACAACTGCAAACACAACATGAAAAACTAATATGCAAGCATTTCTGATGTAGAATTAACATTACACACTCAAATTTCAAAGCAACAACTCTTAAAATAATCCTGCTATCACAACAGTCTCCAGAGTTTTGTGAATGAATTTGGCACAGAAATAAGATTGAAAAGGTAAAAAAAAAATGAATATAACAGATAACTTCTAGATAACAGACTCAAATCAGCATTAGACATCAGCAAAACCATAAAGACATACAGGAGGAATCAAGAGTGATCCTGACAACCTCTTAACAGGAAGACAAATGCACAGAGCGGGGGTGGGGGGGACCCCAAAGTGGAGCAGGTGGACAGCAGGAGGCTTGTATACCAACCCTGGAGACTCCTGCATCCTCACCAAGGACTACCAGTACAGGCACCAAGAGCTATATCCCAACTACCAAAGAGACCACGGGGAATTGGACTGCCATCGTAGGGCAATAACTCCGTCCTCACAGGCCAAGATCTCCTACATGGGATGGAAGATGCCCAGATCCTTCCTCACTGGATCTAATGTAATTGGAACAATAGCCAGGAGCCCTAAGCAGTCCGCAGAAAGAGAAGAATAGTGAATGCCCTTCAAACTTCAAGAAGGGAGCTTTCTCTGCTCCATACTTAGTTCCAGCTTTGGATCCCCATCCTCTCTTGCAATGATCATCAAGGTCGCTCCGGAGCCACTTCCCCCAAAAATTAGATTAGATAATCAGAGAAAAACAAGGAAAGCTTAGAACCAGACAGGAAAAGGTCAGCTAGGACTCACATATACCTTACTAGGTAGGACACAAAGATAAGTTAGTCCTCACTAAGCTATTGAAGATTTCTCTGTACACCCCTCCTAAAAGTGTTCTGTACCTCAACTGTTGACATATGGCTTGTTAGAGTTATAAGCCAGTTTAGACTATCTAAAATCTGCCAAGTTCAGTAAAAATTATGCTTCAACACTATAAACTGCTAAATACTAAAATGAAAATAGACATGAGACAGCTGAATAGTACCCTATAGCCATTTTAAGGTGTATAGCAGCCAGCTGTGTATAAACTAAAATAGAAATGTCAATGAAGTAATCACAGGATGTGGTTAAAAACCTGCATCTTCTAACATACTGGTTACTCAATACCATGTCAATTAACTCCATAATGTTGTAAATTATGGTTGATGTTATGTTGTGTCTTTAATTGATCGGGATGATATTCTGCCAGCTCTACATATTGACGAGAGATGGTCTCCCCAAGAAACTGTTGAATTTATATGGACAATAAGATGCTGGACTCTATATGCATGGTACATGCTTGCAATGAAAGAATCTTGACTGGATTTTTCTATTACTGCAACAAGGTGGAGGAATCCACCCTGGGGGGAAGGTATAAGGAGGGGTTGGGGGAATCCCAGAGCCTTTGAAATTGTGTCACAAAATGAAATGCAATTTAAAAAGGTAAAATAAATGAAATAGCTCATATAAATACTATTTACCCAGACTCCTATATAAAGCAGCACTATATTTGATACATAGGAGTCAGCCACAACAAACCATGTTTAAGTCATTTCAGATTGGTGGTTAATGATGTGGGAATCCCACATGCAGATCCTCAGCCAGGCACAGCACTGGCTGCTGCAGGTATGTGAAGCATCAACCAGCAGATGCAAGGCTCCTCTCCCTCTCTCTAATGCTAATTTTCAAATAAGTAAATGAATAAATCATTTTAAATCAGTTTTAAGTCTTGAGTTGGGTTCTGGTTCAAATCAGAAAGAAGCAAAATCATACTATAACCAAAGTAAATTTTGCTAGTAGTATAATAGGTACTGCCTGTTTCTATTAGTGTGCATACTACTTGCAATAGTATGTACTTATAGAGCCCTGAGATTTTAACATAAGCTGCTCATACGCCTTGCAGATACTCATATTAATGACTAAATCAGCTCTGCAAGGAGGGTACCTGATATCTGAGATGCCTAGTACCCAAATGGGAGACCAGGATGAAGCTTGTGTGCTCTGCCTCAGCCCTGATTGTTTCAGCTATCCTAGGAGGAAAACAGTACACAGATCTCTGTCCCGGGAGAAGCTCTGTGGTCTTGCAGACTTTTGTGGAATGAACCAGCATCTAGTTCATTTTCCTTGTCTCTTTTGATAAATTTCTTTGTCTTTCTCTCAGTAATTCTGTGTTCCCTGGTGTCTAACTTTAGAGCATAAAAGGAATTAAGAAAATATTTTATCAGTGAAAAAATCCTGAAGTGTTAAATGGTGTATCATTACTTCTAAGGAAAACACAAGGCAACATTTCCGCTAGATTATAACAAAACACTTTCATCAGTCAACCAATACTTACTATATTCTAGGTTTGCTTTAGTTTTGATTCATTTAATATAGTATTATTGACTTATTAACATTGGGCTCAGAGTCGATAGCACTGTAATTAATGCCAAAACAAAATTTATCTGACACAAATACATTCTCTTTAAAAAAGAAAAACCATAGTATCCTGCTTACGCGTAGGACAGTGCAAGACATTTCAGTACTATGCTTGGGCATCACAGTAAGTAGCTAATTAACTAACGACCACCAAAATGTGGCGCAATACATACTGTGTATTAGACACTTGCTTATACAATGAGAACTGAAACTTATTTCGCCCTGCTCAATCTCAGCTGGAAATGTATGCTTAATAAATCACTAGTTAGCACTGATGTTATATTACAAATGTTACCAAGCAGAATTTTTTTTTTTAAACAGAAAGTAAAAATTAGCCAGGAATACCCTTCATTAATTTACTAATGAAGCATCAAACTGTTGTATTTTATTGCCCTTTATGATAAAAAACATGAGCTACAGAAATAGTTCATAATTGAAATTTCTGAGGCTGGCACTGTGGTATATAGTATGTTAAGCCTCTGCCTGTGACACCAGCATTCCATATGGGTGCTTGTTTAAGACCTGGCTGCTCCCAGGTCTCCAACAAAGCTCCCTGCTAATGCAGCCTGGAAAGCAGCACAAGAGTGCTTAGGTAGATGGGCTCCTGCACCCAACTGGGAGCTCTGAAAACAGCTCTGGGATTCTGATTTCAGTCTCACATGTATTCAGGCTTGCATAGCTTTAGACACGAACAGGAGAACACCATTCACTCATGATGTTTACCTTAAATGTGAAAATGCTTTTAAAAAAGAATCACAGGACAATAAGGGCAACAAACAAAAATGATAAGGGCTATGAAAAAAATATAAAAGATAGAATAGGGAAAGGGGTTTCACATGTTTTAATTAGGTAGCCAGGGAATGATACTTTGAAGGCAACAATGCAAATGGTAAGATCTCATGAAGCTATTGGAATGACTCAGGTATAAGTGGTAATGGATTACACCAGAATAATAGTGGGGAGTGTGGAGAAAAACAGTCTGTAAACCAACCAAATGGGAAAAAAAAAAAGATTCTTTGCATGATATACAACAGATAGTGGAATAACATCCAAGACTTACTGAGAGCTTCAGATACTCAAACAACAAACAAACAACTCCATTAAGAAGTGGATGAAGGACATGAGCAGGAATTTGTCAAAAGGATAAATTCAAATGGCTGGCAGACTTATGAAAAAGCACTCAGGCTCCATAGCCATTAGAGAAATGCAAATACAAACCACACTGAGGTCCCACATCACTCCAGTGAGAAAGACCTACACACAGAAATCTACTAATACCACCTCTCATAAGAATGAGGGAAAAGGCACACCTGCTCCACATTGGTGGGAAGAGTACCTTGTCCAGCCACTATGGAAATCAGTATGGAGAGTGCTTTGCCAAGTGGAAACCGATCTGCCACATGATTGAGTATCCCACTTCGGGGAACATATCCACATGAATTGAAATCTGAATATGAGAAAGTGGCCTGCATACCTATATTTACAGCAGCACAATCCACGATAGCAAAGAAATGCAAACAATCCAGATATCCTTTGAAAGTGGAATTGGTTATACAAAACAAAAACAATGTGGTGCATCTACTTTTTGGAATATCGCACAACAACTATAACAATGAACTTGAGCCATTTGTACCAATCTGCCATTTGTAAATACATACTATTATGATAGGTGAAATAGTCCAGTCTACCCCCAAAATAAATAATATGTTTTTCTGATGAGAAAAACTCACACAAAATACAAAAGAGAATAGAAATATGGGTAAAAAAGTATATACATATATTCTCATAGATGAATTTTACAATGGAGGAGAGCACACCAGTAATGTAAGATATGTTTTGGTTTGCGTCTCTACTCCCAACTGAAAGGAGGACTCCAAGTAAGGCTGTCAAGTACACCTTGACAGTCTGATACTAGATTCTATATCAATAGTTATAGCTACAATCCCATGATACACTTCAATAACAAACGATGCACTCATGACTGTTGCTAAAGAGTAATACTATTATAATATAGGAGAAAATGGAATGGGGGAGAATAAGGAGAGAGGAAGGAGGGCGGCTCTGGGAATCTCCAAATAAACACATAAAAAGAGGACAGAGACCATAAAAATGGTCAAAATACATTTATAAAATGAGTAAAAATGTTATTATTTGCCTCCCTGAATTCAATCAATCTTATTTTCAAAGAAGAAAGGCTAATGGTTAATGATAGCTCCTTGGTGGTGGAGGCAGGATCAAATCGTATCATCTAGAAGCTATTTGCACCTAAAGAGAGGTTGTAGGTCATGGAACAGTTGCCAAGAGGAGACAGATCGCTAGAGAGAGCAGGTTATAGAAGCAGAGTATGTCTCCAGTCTCTCTCTGATTCCTGGCCCACTCCATGATAAATGGTCTCTATACTGTTCTCCAACCTCACCAAGCCAGAACCCATGAGGCCACTCAATTTTGGACAGTGTATTTCCATCCCATTAGGCAAAATAAATCTTCTTTAATAAGAAGTTCCTCTCTAGCATTTTAAATGTCATAAAGCGCTGATGTCAAGTATAGCTTGAGAAGTCACCCTGATCAACTAGACAAATGAATCTTTAACTAAGACATGGAATACCTGAGCAGGAGCAATCAGCACAAAGGAGAAGTGTCAGCTTTATACATATTAGAGGTGGATGCACGCAAAATTGAATGGAACTAAATCCCCTGACCCAGTCAGATAGCATCAATTATGATCTAATTTAAGGTGATCTTACACTGAGGAATCACATGATAATGATAATATGATTTGTGTAATAGCTTAGAATGTCTAATATTACTTTCAACACTTTCTTGAGGAAAGTATTTAAGAACAAATAATATTTTATAAATGAATCATGAATTGTGAATATCCAGTGATCACAGAGACTGAACATGAAATATATGCTTAGGCTTTGAAGTCTAGCTTTCTTGCCATCCAGTGCAGCTTCTCATATAATCCTTGTCACTGGTGACATTTTATTTTATTTTCTTTATACATTTCAGTCATTATCGTAAGTTTTTCCCGAAGCTTCTTAATGTTTGCCTTTTTCACTGCAAAGATACTTGTTCAGTCTGGAGATATAACCATGATTCTCAACTAGTAATCCTAGATTAGATGACTAGTTCAGTTCATATTAAATACTGAAAAACATAAAAGCATACATAAAAATCTGTGACGTTTCTTTCAAATTATATGTCAGTGGTCTAAGTATTTAAAACAATGGTCAAAATGAGTAAATACTTCACAGTGAAAAATGCTGGATTCACTGAAATTTCATTATTTATCCCTATAATATTACCTAATTAAGAAAGTAACAATAAAAGAGCTAAAAGTTGTTAAGTGTTACCACTAAGAAACTTACTTTTTGCTTTTATATACATTTTCTTTCTTAAAGTTATGGAGTTCTCTCTCGGCAAACCGAGCTGCCCACTGAAAAATAACAAAAGATGGAGAAACATGCAGACAAATGTTAGATGAAAATGAGCATGAACATCCCAGAGCATACAAATATCACTGTCAATGTATGCATCCACTTTAACGAAATGCAGATAAAACATTTTGAATTGAAGGATCTTTTAGAAAAGGAAATATTTCAGGGAAGCAGATGGCATGGGCCTAAAACTGGAGATGACTTGTGCACTTGCCAATGAATGCTGCTCTCTGATGTGAGATGCAGGACTGTTTGATTAGTCAAGTAAGAGGCTAAGGGCAATGTGGGAGGATGCAAGCCTCAGGCAACTGCAACAGAGACTCAGAATCATTACACATGGCAGCTTTGCATAGTTGCCTCAAGGCGATCATCTCTACAGAAAATTCACTATGACTCTGTGAAACCATAAAGGACTAAAACAGTTCAGCAGCATGTGGCTAAATGCTATTTAAAAAAAAAAAATAGATGAAATTATCAATGCATGTTGCACTTGCTGTAAGTTCATGGCGCTGCATAAATCATATCCCATTTTATTCAGTAAGAGGTAAAGATAAAATCAAATGTTACAGAGAACAAAGCTTGCACAACCTAGTGAATATCAACAGCATGCAATAATCACAACTATTCATGTGGAAAGGTTAACCTCATTCTGAGAGATCTCCAGATCATCTGCAATCATTTTGTGAAACTTTGGACTGGGAAAACCATATGATTCACTAGGCTTATCACATAGGTAAAGTCACTTAATTTATAATTTATTACAAAGAAAAAGAAGTTAGTCTGCATTTTTAAAAAATAAAAGTAATTACTCTGATATTTATTAAAAACTGAACTGCATGGTAGAAATAGCTTGGACAAAGAGTAAACCACATAAATATTTACAAAATGAATCACTTATTTGCAAACCTTGCCATCATAAAAAAATAATTGTGTGTGAATATTATTCCTACATATAACAAATTTTTACTAAGAAATTATGCCAAAGATAATCACTAAAATAAACTATTGAACTATTGATATGTGGAACCAAAATTATTTGAAATTACAAGGGAAAGAATGAAAAAACAAACAGGTTAATTAAACATGACTTTTTAAAATAAATTATAAAATATTTGTTTCAAAAAATACCTGTAACACATTAAGAAACAAGGCTACAAAGTTCGGCTCTTTGCCATGGTCCTTGCCCACAATGATGGACATATGGTTGTTTATGTATTATGTATTATGGTAATAATATAGGGGAACCCAGTAGGGAAGGTAACTTGGGGAAGGGGTAAGGAAAATCCCAGGGACTATTGAATTGTAGCATAAAGTGATAATAATAATAATGAAAACAGTTTTAGAAAGGCAAAAATAAACCTGTAACACATTAAGAAATAAGGCTACAAAAATAGGATATAATGTACTCCACTTTTTGTGAAATGCTCATATGAGCTTTTGGTAATCTTCATGGCACCACAGGACTAGAGCCAACATCCCATATCAGAGTGCTTGGTTCAAGTCACAGTTACTCTAAGTGTCATACAGAGCTTCCTGCCAACGTGATCTAGAGGCGAGGAATGATGGCTCATTGCAACCACATAGGAGATTGCATGGGGAGTTCCTAGATCCTGGATACAATCAGATCTGGACACATTTTGTGGCCATTTTGGACAGTTAACCAGCCGATGGAAGAATGTTCAATGTCTCTCTTTGCATTCCCCTCTATCATTCAAATAAGTAAACAAATCTTAGAAATATTTTCAAAATGTGTGTAAATGCATGCTTTGTACATCATCTGAATTTGGGTTGCCATATTCATTTATGTGAGGAGGCAGATCGATGGAATAAACTCCTTATACTCTGCTTCACTTCCCAAATCCAACATGAGCTGGAACTGGGCCAGGGCAAAGATGGAAGTAAGGAAATTGAAGGAGCTGGATGCAGTTAGAGCAGTTCAACCGAAATACCCTGTGTGTGATGGAGGCATTCTAACTGGCACCCAAAATGCTAGGTCAGACAACTGCCCTGGTCTGAACTTTCAGTAAGTACATGCTATTTCTATTGGATGTGACAAACACTGCCTCACTGAGATCTAGAGGGCACACTTTCTATGTCTTTTAACATAAAGTCACACACACCAAATAATAAAATCAATGTAAAGTGATAGAAAATATACAAGACTTAGGCTCGGAAAGATCAGGATTGCAATCTCTGCTTTTCACTTCCTAATAACGTGACCTTGGGCTGTTGTCTCATCTATAAAATCTGAAATAATAAAATCTACTTCACAGTTATTAAGTAGACTTAATGGATGTTATTTCACAGTATTTTCAAGTATAGTGCCTAGAACACAAAAGGCACAAAAGTAGCCTCCTCCACCTCTGTGTCAGGGACTCCCCAAAAGACATCTCATAACCTCATGTAGTTCCTCTGCAGCACAGACCAGTGTTCACAATCACCCACTTCTTAATACGTAGTGAGTAATTCAATAAATATTTAAAGAACTCTGAATTTTAGAAGTAGAAGGGGCTTAGTTAGCACTTTATCCACCCTACTGTTTACAAATGATTAAAATGACTCAGAGAACTTTTTTTCTTTCATAAATAACAAGGGGCAATCCAATGCCCCAACAATGTGAATCTGTGACCATATCTGTAAATGCACATCACATCCTTCTGACCCTTGCAGACACTATAGGTTCCTTTCAAAATAGCAATGCGTTAAAACCAGACTGTATGGATTGGTCAATGTGTTCATTCTCACAAGAAGGGTAATTAAAATAAAGTGATCCTTTTACATAGCAATTTATTTTCTTCAATTTAGTTGCTCAGTATTATCTTCTAGAAGTAAAATCCTAAGTTGATTTATAAAAGTTAAAAAGCTATAAGGGAATTTGAAACTTACCCAAGTATCATTTGCATTTTTCTTCAAATAAATAATCTGAAAAACAGAATATTTTAAATGTATACTTTTTTATATAAAAACGTACCTATCATTTGCTTAGGAAATAACTCAAAAAGTCAAAACTATTTCAAACATCACTAACATCACTAACAACAACATTGATGCAAATTTTCATGTACACATCATGTATTATAGGAATATGTGAAGACAATTAAATATATAATTAATAAACTTCCACTTTAGGTTCTTCGGTCAATAATTTTCATTTGTGAAATCTAATGTACTTTTAAAACAAGGCAGGAGACATGATACCTAAGAAGTCTTGTGTCAAGCTCTTTGAAATCCTGAAACTGTTGAAACGTCTTAGCCACATGTGACATTCTAAACAAAAGTGTGCAACGGATGGAGAAATTCATTTTCTCTTTCAATTCAATTTCAACACTCAGGTGTTAGGACCTACATCTATGCATGTGCTTGCACACACATACACACATACCTAAACATGATTATAAAGAATGGTACATGCATGCAAGTGTGCACACACACACACCTGTACTTGACACACACCCCTGTACCTGATGATAAAGAGTGGTACACACATGCTCATGCGTGCACACACATATGTATACCTGGTAATACTGAATGTTCCACAGAGACACACACACCTATACCTGTTAATAATTAATGGTACATACATGTACGTGTGCACACACATACTTGTTCCTGGTTAATAATGAATGGTACATGCATTCATGTACACACACCTGCACCTGGTAATAATGAATGGTACACACATGTGCAAGCACACATCACACACACCTGTATTTGAAAGTAATCGATTGTTCTTTCCAATTCTTGTTCAAGGACTTTGATTCTCCAGCTAGGAAGAAAAATTATTTTGACATTAATGTATAAGCACAATACACAGGACACGCATAAAACATTATTTACATCAAGAGTTTTCTATTCTAGGGGGAAAAACTCCCAAAACTATACATATTGAGAAATAAACATGAGGAACTATCACGTTCTTTACAAAACATGATCTGATGTTAATATTCTAGTATTTAGGCACTCCTGAAACAAAGGTCATCCCAAGATTTAGACTGTGTGTGTATCTGCTTTAAGTATGATCACGGGAGGCTTATTCAGTCATCTGAAATCTTAATGTGATCATAGGAAATCAATGTCCTCTATTTGGCAAATGTTATTCATTACCTTTGCAAGATTAAAATGATGGGGACAGCACTGTGACAAGGTGGTCAAAGGCTGCTGTTGCATCACCCACATCTTGCATGGGCACTCATTTAAGTTCCAGCTGCCCCACATTATCAAGCTCCCTGCTAATGTGCCTGGGAACGCAGAGAAAAATGGCCTGCGTGTTTGGGCCCATGTAGGAGACCCACAGCAAGCTACTGGCTCCTTGTTTCATACTGTCCCACCCACAGCTGTGGTCATTGAGAATGAGTCAGCAGATAAAAGCTTCATTCATTCATTTTCTCTAATTGTTCCTTGCTCCATGTTTCTCCTCTTTTTCTGTTTGCTGCCTTTCAAACACATGAATCAATTAAAAAGACTAACAAGCTAAATCAGATAAAGTCCAACTTTGCTTTTTGTGTGATGCACAACTATTCATGTACAGCTGAACCTTGCCTTTTGTCTATAGCCTTTACATTATTTCCTTGGGTCAACTGAAGGAGGATCCAAGGTTAAAGCTGGACTTAAAGTCTTGTAAACAAAGCTGGCTCAGTGGCAAAATGGGATAAGTCTATGCCTGAGGCACCATAATCTCATATAGGCACCTCATTCAGATTACAGGAGCTCTACTTCTGGTCATGTGGCCAAGCTAATCTCTTTTATCTGTCTTTCTGTACCTCTAACTTTCAAATAAAATAAATAAATGAAAAGAGACTTTTAAACAGCCTAGTGTGATGGCTAAATCTTCACCTTGCAAATCATAGGGATCCTATATGGGCACCAGTTCCTATCTCAGCTGCTCCACTTCCGATCCAGCTTCCTACTTGTGGCCTGGAAAAGGAAGGTGGCTCAAATCCTTGGGACCCTACAACCATGTGGAAGACTCAGAAAGCTCCTGGATTTGGATCAGCTCAGCTCTGGCTATTGCAGCCACTTGTGTGATCCAGCCAATGAAAGATCTTTTCTCCTTCTATCTCCTCTCTGTAAATCTGCCTTTCCAAGAAAATGGAATAAATTTTTTAAAAAAATCTCATATATCTATCCAAATAATATTAACTGTGCATTTTCTCTGATTTTTTCTCGTGGTGAGCTTTTAGCTACTCTCCAACCCACAAAAGAAAAAGCATTTAATACCGATAGACGTTGATCGCTTCTGTTTCACACTTAAGAGTATCATCCACTTTGAAAAGATGATCTTCCTTCTTTAGTTGGCAATTTTCCTCTATCATTAATTCCCTTAAGCAAAATATTACATATTTCCCTTAATAACACATGATAAAACAATGAACTTTATTGCTTAACTATATCAAAATTGGTGATTCGCAAAAGTATTTTCGTACTTATCATTACAAACACAACATAAAACTGCTATATAAACATTCCTGGTGTAGTATTTAACATTATAAATTCAAATTTTAATGCAAACCATCTAAAATACTACTGCTATCACAACAGATGCCAAAGTTTTATGTAGGAATTTTATGTAGAAATTAGATTTAAAAGGTAAAAAAATGAAATTATGAGAAGGCATAACATTTATCCAGACTTCCTATATAAAGCAGCATTATATTTGTTACACAGGAGTCAGCCACAACAAACCATGTTTCAGTCATTTTAGATTGGTGGTTAATGATGTGGGAATCCCACATGCAGATCCTCAGCCAGGCACAGCACTGGCTGCTGCAGGAATGTGCAGTATCAACCAGCAGATGCAAGGTCCCTCTCCCTCTCTCTAATGCTGATTTTCAAATAAGAAAATGAATCATTTTAAATCAGTTTTAAGTCTTGAGTTGGCTTCTGGGTCTGATCAGAAAGTAACAAAATCATACTACACCTGAAGTAAATTATGTTAGTAGTGTAATCAGTACTATTTTTATTAGTGTGCATATTTCTTGCAATGATAAGTGGCTTTTGAAGCCCTGAGATTGTACCAGAATCTATATTTAGGACTTACATGTAATGATCTTGCTTAAAGACTGAAACAACACTACAAAAATATTACAATCCACTAAACAAATGTATATATATGTGCATTTGTTTAATGGATTGTAATATTTATATATATATATAGGAATCCAAGAAACTAAGTCAGGTCTTGTATCATGATAAATGCAGATAAATTCTTTTTTTTTTCTTTATATACATTTTATTTCTTACTTTGTTTACACAGTCGATTAGGGTGGGAAGTGTCCTGGATTAGGGAAAAGTAGATCAGACCATGGTTTCAAATTTTTTTCTACTTTCTGTGTCTTGGAAAACAGGGAGTGGGAGGGGAGTGACACCCATACTCTCAACTGCTTCAGCACCTGGGGATGGGGAATGGCCCTCCAATGCCATCCTAGGGTCCCCAGTGTGGCACAGGCTCAGCGGGTTCTGCTCCCTATTTACTAGGGAAATGCCAATAAAAACCACATTACCATTCCAGCAAATACCAGTGAGAATGGTCTACATTTGTCAATCTATCAACATGGCTGGCATGGATGTGGGAAGAATGGTACCCTGTCTCACCATTGGTGGGAATGCAACCTAGTGCCACCACTTTGTCAGTCAGTATGGAGAGTATTAGGACATCTGAAAGTGAATCTACCATATTGTACAGCTAGTCCAGTACCGAAAAAAAAAATCCAAATAATGTGAAAACTGCATATCAAAAAGTGACCTGCAACCCTATATTTATAGCAGCATGATCCACACAAGTGAAGGCATGGAAACAACCCAGATGCCTTTCAAAAGATGGATAAAGAAACGGTAGCAGATCTACTACATGGAATAATACTCAGACACCGAAATGAATCAAATTCTACCATTTCCTGCAAAATGGTCCCAGCTAGAGACCATTATTCTCAGTGAAATAAGTTAATCCCCAAAGAACAAACATCACATATTCTCTCTGATATGTCAACCTGCACGCAAAATCCCAGATCAATATTTAGGCAAACATGTACATACATATATTTAGCATTAAAGATAATTTCCAATATGCACCTCTTCTCCCTAGTAAGAGGACTCACAATGAAAATGTTAAATATATTTTGACCATAGCATACGAGATTTTCTAGCATTGTCTATACCTACAAAGCCAAGATATACTTAAATAGAAGAGTCATAGACTTGTGATTGTTGCTATAGGACACTGCTGTTATAATACAGTAGTTCAGAATGAGGTATGAAGCGGGAATCTCTGAGCCTATGGAACAGCATTATGAAAATACACTTAATTGGACATAGGTATCATGTCACCAGGTAATTTACACCAGGTAATTGGATCCACCCCTATATATACTGTCTGACCCAAACAACAGTGTGCAGTGCATGACTGTGATTGGATCCAGGTGCAGGGCTCACAGTGATTCTTTGATACTACACTATCCATCTATGTTGCATGAAAGTTTCTTTATATCAGAAAAAGCACATGTTCCTTTTGGTACTGGCTTATTTGCAGTGAGCATAATGGTCAATGGTTTGGGACCATTTTGTTGCAGACGGTAGAATTTCAGCCTTTCCAATGGGTGAATAGTATTCCACCCTAAAAAAAAAATGAATGAGCAAATCTATTTTTTTTTGCAAATCTAATCACAAATTAGAAACATTCAGTAATCACAGAAATTTGAGCATGTAATACATGACTCTGCTTTCAAAGGCTATTTTACTTTTCATCCAATGGAGCTGGCAATATGATTTTTATTACCTGCAAGTCGTCATGTCATTTCCTTGATATACTTCAGTCCTTATTGGGACTTCCTGTGGATGTGTCCCAATTTCATTTCCAAATTGCGTCCCTTCTGACTTCATAGGTATTTGTTCAGTCTGATGATTTTCAATATGTTCTAAAGGAAATTTTAGGTCATAACACAAGGAATATTTTAACTTACATACTAACATCTGAGGACAGAAGTTACCAAATTAATAAGTTAATAACAAAATTAACAAAATTAAACTGGCTCCAACGATAGAATATCTAATGCTTTTCAATAGTTTAAAGATCTAGGTCTACTATTCTAAATATTGTTTCATATTTTTGTATACAACCCTCAAAAACTTCCATTCAATCTAGCATCTATTATTCAACATAGAAGCTAAAATCCATGAAGAAAAAAGGCTTTTAAAAGTATTTTATTTCAATAGTCCCTTAAACTATTTCCATAACAATCAGTAATATCCATTTCATCTAGTAAAGAATTTGCCTCTCAATAGTATTATAGTTCTATTCAGCACTAACATTTAGGCATAAACGTGATATGGGTTATAAATCATACAAGAAATTTAGACCTTTTGGCTAATAAATACTCAGATGTCCTCCAGACTTAAACAAAACTATGCCTGAGAGAAAAGTATAAATTTTAACCTACCTTCAAATGCTAATTCATCTACAGTAATCTATAAAAATGAAAACTAACAATTCTAAATAATGTGAATGCTTCAAAAATAGGTGTATTATTTGATAATAGAATGTAGGAAAGATATATTTTTCCAAATGTGGCACTTATCATTACCCCAAACTTAATGAAAAGAGAAAATACAAAATCATATTAATAAGTAAAAAATTTTAATAATTACATGTAATGGGTATATAACTATTCTAAAATATTCATTATTTAAATGAAAATGCAAGGATATTTTAAGTAAATATCTTAAAAATAAATGACTGAATTCACACAAAACTATGTGTATCTGTACTTTTAAAAAACTTTTGCAACACATTTTAAAAGTTAAACTACTTATGCCACTGCTAAAAAAAATCATTTATTAAATTGATGTTGAGTATTATTTCTTTTTTTAAGATTTATTTATTTTTATTGCAAAGTCAGATATATAGAGAGGAGGAGAGACAGAGAAGAAGATCTTCTGTCTGATGATTCACTCCACAAGTGACTGCAACAGTCAGAGCTGAGCCAATCTGAACCCAGGAGCCAGGAAATTCCTCCAGGTCTCCCATGCGGGTGCAGATTCCAAGGCTCTGGGCCACCCTTGACTGTTTTCCAGGCCACAAGTTGGGAGCTAGATGGGAAATGGGGCTGCTAGGATAGAACTGGCACCCATATGGGATGCAGGTTTGTTCAAGGTTAGGACTGTAGCCACTAGGCCACCGTACCAGGCCCAAGTATTATTTATAAAATAGTGTTTCATTATTACAGATACGGCTCATGTATTGTAGAATTTTGAAAATACAGATTAGATTATAAACTGCCCATGTTTCTCTATTCAAACATGATTACTAACATTCAAACATTTCCTTCTATACTTTACTAATGTAAATATAAATTCTGTGATTTAATTTTTTTAAGTAAGATGCTTTTTTAAACCCAACTTAAAACTGCAAACTGACTATAAAAGAAATGTTACACATATTGCTTTATTTTTAGTTTCTTTGTTATCCTCTTACTTTGTCTCACCCATAAATTCAGCTTTTTTTATAAGTTGTACATTTACAGAAAAAAAGGACATAATCAATGTGATTAAGAACAAGTCAGTTTCAACCCTAAAATCTTGCACTATTCCCCTTACTAAATAAGCCTACTATGAGAAGCAATTTTCTCTTGCCATAATACTGCTGTATCTCACACACACACAGATTTTAAGTACACCTTTCACTTCCAGTCAGGTTTCCTGTTAATGTACCAGGGAATCAACAGATGAAAGTTCAAATTCTTGGGTTCTGGTCAACCACTTAGGAGACCTCGATGAATTCCTGGTCTTCCGTCTGGTCCAACCCCAGCAGATATGGGCATTTGGGGACTGAATCAGTAATAAAGGATCTCTCAATATTCATCTCTTGTCTGACTTTGTTCATTTTCAGTAAATCAATAAATACATAAATCCTTCACAATTTAAAAAATCACATCTTTCTTCATGAATGTATTTATTACTTGTGCTGTAGTTGCGGGGAAGAAAGCATAACATTTGGAAGAACCACCAAGGAAGGAAACGGGTAGTAAGGAACATGAGATCTGTCTATATTACTTTTAAACTTCCTGTAAATCTGTAACAATTTCAAAATAAAATATTTTCTGAGATTTATTTGTTTGAATGGTTGAGTTACAGAGAGTGAGGGAGAGTAAAGGAGAACCAGAGACAGAGACCAAACTTTCTTCTGCTGCTTCACATCCCTAACACATCAACAGTCAGGGCTGGGACAAATAGCATCCAGGAACGCAGAGCCCTTTCCAGGTCTCCCTTGCGGGCATCAGGGACACAGGTACTTTCATCTTCCATTTCCCACTGTCTTTCTAGCTACATTAGCGGGAAGCTGGAAAGGAAGTGTAGCAGGCAGGACTCAAGCAAGTTATTCATACTGATGCCAGCATTGCAAGTGGCACCTTAAAACACTGTGCCACAATGCCAGCCCCTCAATGTCACTTAAAGAAAAATAACAAAGTCATCATAACTGGTTTGAGAACAGAGAATGACTTCTGCTAACCCAATTTTTGGTAGGTCGACTGCAATGGGTAATGATAAAAATTACTGTGATGATCCAAAGCAGTGTAACAATTTAACTTAATAAAAATCCTGAGCTATGAATTAGTGCTTTACGTAGCACTCCTATTTTGAACATGGCACCTATCCATCTGTTTAGCCTACAACAGAGAGAAAAACAAGCACCGAAATGATTATGGCATTAATTTTTTTAAACAGCTATAAGGAGGACATGTATCAGCTGCGAGGAGAACAGCAGGGAGGGAGACTACAAGTCTATCTATGGAGCTGAAGGGATTGACTGCAGGTGTTCCAGCTGAAGGTAAATGAAAAGGGAGACAATGACGCTGTGTTACAGACAAGCCAAAGCACAGTGTATCAAAAACAAGGACTGGAGGCGAAACAACCAAAAAAAGTAGCCATCATTTCATCAAAAGATGAATCCTGACTTGATATCTAAGGGAGTACCGTTTTCTGAGTCACTCTTCATGTCTTGTTCCACACAGTCATCAGTGGTTTTCTCGTCTCCAAGATTGGCAGAGCAATTTTCCATCTTTAGAAAGTGTCCAGAGTTTTTAAAAAAAAAAAAACAAAAAAAGACAGAGGGTAATGACTTACACTAGTGCATTTATTATTTCTTTCCTCTAAAGACTGATTTACTTCTTTATTTGAAAGTCAACAGAGAAGAGAAGACAAACACTCTTCCATTCATGGGTTTGCTACTCAAATTACCACAACATTCTGAAGCCAGGAGCCAGGACCTCCATCTGCATCTCCCACAGTTATGCAGAAGTCCAAGTAACTGGCCCATCTTTCTGTTGCCTTTCAAGTACATTACCAAGCAGCTATGAGATGCTAATGCATGTGGTAGCTTCACCTACAGTACCACAATACCAGCCCAAATGTATATATCTTGTTGATGTACAATTACAGTTTTAAATAAATCTACCAAGAGTAGGTATTTGGCACAGTAGTTAAGATGCCCACTGAGATGCCCATATTCTCATCTGAATGCCAGGGTTCCCATCCGGACTCAATCTCCTGATTCCAACTTCTTCTTAGTTCTCCTCCATAACCATATTCACTCCTAAACCCCACACCGACAGGTGGTGCAAGTAGATGCATCCCTGCCACCTTGATTGGACATTCAGATGGAGGTCCTGGCTGCTGGCAACAAAAAGGTCCAGGCAAGGTTGTTGTGGCTATTAAGCTCTATAAGATAAAACCAAAACTAGTGAAACTTAATGAAACATCTTATAATGGTTCATTCTTGCTAAATTCATATTTTAAAATGGCAAAATGTTTTATGAGATGTTTATCTGCTACAAATAATAGTGAACATTAACATAAAGGATATATTTTATATAATGACAAATCTGTGATATAAAGATTACAAATTTCAATCTATTAAAAAGAAAACATAATTAGGTGAGGAGTTCAACTGACACAAAATACATTCTTAAGAAGTATTCAAATTAGAACATGAGAAGTTTCCCAGCATTGGGTAGTATTTTCTTGTAATGCAGGAAAATTTTCTAGCACTGTAACAAAAATATCATATAACTGTGTCATATATTGCTCTGGAAAGTCAAAGTTAAATCTATTCTGGTCTACAATTTCCATCCTTCAGTTGCCTCAAACTTTTAAGAATTTGAGGCACCAAACAAAAAGGTCTATAGCTTTGCACTCAGTGCGAGAATAGTATCTCATTATTGTTCTAATTAGCAGGTATTTCAAGGTCTTTCAATCTTTGAGCTTAGAGAAAAAGTTAAACAATACATTTGTCCCGTGGCATCCACAAAAGGAAGGGTTCAAGGACCGGCCACATAACTCACAAATGCAAAAATCCACACATGCTCAAGTCTCTCATGCACATTAGTGCAGCATTCACATACAGTCCATCAACACCTTTATTTTAACTCAGTTCTATTCTGCAAATGATACTTAGCAGCTCTGTTAGGGAAATAGTGATAGCATTATATAATTAGAGAATAAGCACAATAAGAAGAATCTGTCAGAAACAATACTGTTTTTTTTTTCATATAGATCTGATGGCAGTTTGTTGAATCCATAGCAGTGGAATTTGTGGGTGCAGAGGGCAAGCTATATGATACTAAGAATATTGTCAAGTTTCCAGCCTACCAATTTAATTCATAATTTGCCATGGCAATGATTTGCTTCATTTTATTTTGTTTGGAAAACAAAATACTTGTAAGTTTCCAAGTTAAGACACAATTCTATCCAACTCAGTCACACACATCAGTAGAGCCATTTACCTCAATGTGATTTGCACTGTCATTGATAGGTTGTTCTGCCAGTATTTCACTGTACATAAATGTCATTTTCTGTTTAAATTC